ATGCATCTCAAAACTTGGCTCCTAGACCCCAGTCCTTTTTTTTCACCCTAGGGTGTTCTTGGATCTCTACACCTAGCTTTGGAGGGGGTGGGGGTTCAATTAAGGACTAAGTACAAGATCTATCTTAGCTATGATGTTATCTCCAGTACTTCAATCAATAGTCAAGGAATTGCCCTGGCCAGTTTGGTTCAGCGGTTAGAGTGTCGGCCTGCAGTCCAAGAGACCCGGGTTCGGTTCCCGCTAAGGGCACGTACCTCAGTTGCAGTTTGTCCCCGGCCCTGGTTGGGTCGTGCGGGTGGCAACCACTCAATGTGTCCCTTTCACGTTGATGTTTCTCTCTCTCTCTCCCTCCCACTCTATCTGAACAAAATAAAAAAAAAAAAAAAAAATAGTCAAGGAATTATTTATTGAAGAATTTATTCTTTAATTAGCAACCCTGGGAAAAAGCCAAATCAGGACTCAGAGGCAAATGCAGAAATCCACAGCTGCTTTCCCTTGTCAAGCTGGAGCAGAGTTTAAACCAGGCCAGACCCACTCCAGATCTGGCCACAGCCTACTGTCCACATCCTGGTCCCAGAGAGTAGGTTGTAAACTGGCTTCACTTCATGGAAGGGCTTAGCTCAAGGGCGTTCATGGCTTCCTCAAGTTTGAACATCCCTGCACCAGAAAGCAAACAATAGTAGGTGTGCATGAGAAGGTAAGGTCCTGGCCAGGCGTTCTGGGGCTGGGATTATCGGGAAGCTCAGAACGTGGGACCACCGGGCCCATTCCAACATCCTCCAAGAAACTGGAGGGGGTGGGGGTTGAGATCTCAGATAATCCTGCTCTAGAACCAACCCTGGGCCACCTCTCAGCATAGTCTTACTCCAGGGTCCCAGCCAGTACTACCAAAGGAGTCTCGGGAACAGCCCAGACACCAAGGGCCCCGCGGGCGATGCCCAAGGTGTGGTGGCTGCAGGAGGAAACAGGAGGCATGGGTGTTAAGGGCTGAAGGAGAGGGAGTGAAGCTGTGTGCCCCCACCCCCTCCGACCCCATCACCTTGTAAAGGGCCTCTTACCTCGCTCCAGCCTCAGGCGGTGCCTCTCGGCCATGGACTGGAGCATCCACTTGGTTCGGAGTTTGTACAAGTAATTGCCGTAAACCACAACCTCGGTGAGGTTCGAGGATTCCAGAACCTTCAGCTCAAGCATGGCTTTGCTCACTTGTTCGATGTATGGGATTCGAGATCCTCCCGGGCCTGTTTGGGGAAGAGGGTGAGCGCTCCGACCCCTGGAGGCCGAGACGCCGGGGTCGAGGAACCCGAGGCAGGACTGGGCTCACTTACCAAACATGGCTTCCAGCAGTTGCGTCTGGACCTGGAACACCTCCGGATCTCTCAAGTCCTCAGGAACTTTCACCCACGGTGGGATATCTTTCCGTTTCGGCAGCGTCCCCATCTTGAATGCCTCGAAACGAAAATCACGCTCGGAGTTAGGCTAGGCCTGAGAGAGTGGCCCAGCGCCGCGGCGCGCGCGAAACTTGAACACTTGGGCGGGCCCCGCCCACAACGAGGCCCCGCCCCGGAAGGGGCCCGCCCCCAACCTGACGGCCCAATCCGGGACTCACAAGGCTCTGCTCGCTCGCTAGCCCGCTCGCCCGCCTGCCCGCCTGAGCTCTAGTCTACAGAATGACCTTTACCCTTTCCCGAGCACTGGTGGGCCCAGCTGTCTCCGACTTTTACAAGGGTTTCCACCTGCTTTGGCTCCTTCTTCCGCACCAGAAGCCCTTGGGCCTTGGAAGTTCACGCAACGGAGGCACTACTCTTGCCCCAGGAACGAGCTGTTGGGCCTGAACCTCAGAAAGCGGAAATTCAGGTTTGAGGGTGCGAGGACCACCCAGGAGTTGGGAGCTGCTAAATCGAGTTTCAGCCTCCCACTTTTCAAAGGAGGGTGTGTTTCCCTTTGGCCCAAGAGGGCTGGATCCCGGGCCTTCACATCGCAGGTGAGCCCTGCAACTCCTGGGAACTCAGGAGTAATTCCTGCCATTTAACAAAAAGGAAAACGAGATTAGAAAATTCATTGTCTTCAAGGGACATGATGGGCACTCTAAAGTGCTCCCAGGGTTCGAGTTCCTCGAAGACCTTGGGACTGGAACTTTTGAATCTACTCTGATTTCGAAGCTTATCTGTGCCCTGTCTGGCTACTGGAACCAAACCGTATAGTCCAGGCTTCTGTCTCTAAATAAACTTGTTTATTTAAAACAAACAAACAAACATATTGTTTGAAGCGATGTACTAGATTCACCTGATGAGGGTATGAATTCAATGTTTTAGGGCTCCCTAGATGGAAATGAAGCTGGCTTTTCCAAGGGCCATGTTTTGGTAACATGTAATAGTCCCTCCGCTGGCTATTATGACCATGACTTGTTTGAAAATTATTATTTTCTTTCCTAAAATTATAAAAATCAAGTCTTTAGTCCTTAGGCTCCCAAGTTTCACTTTCAAACATTATCATATTCATAAGCCTATAAAGTTGGTTTTTGTTGTTTTTTTAACCCTCACCCCAGAACATACTTAGAGAGAGGAAGGGAGAGAGCAAGAGAAGAAAGAAACTTCCAGGTGCATCAATCAGTTGCCTTCTGTGCATGCCCCAACCAGGAATGGAACCCAAAACCCATGTATGTGCCTTGGCAACCTTTTGGTGCACAAGATGACACTCAACCAAGTGAACCATTCCAGTCAGGCAGAAAATTTTAACAATTACATTTGATGGTCTCTAAATGACACAAAGTTCCACTGACAAACTTAATTATCTAAACATCCTCATGTATGGCAAAGAGCATTGCAAGGTACTTTTGGTCTCAAATAACTTTCCAAAGGCTAAATAATTCCTATAAATCAAATAAATAAAACTTTTTGTGTTGAACTTGAATTTCTCTTTGGTAATCCAATACTGCATATAAACTAAGATTTTATCTTAACCCACATATTTAAATCAATTAAGTAATTATGTTTTAAATTGGAGTTACAAAATTATTTCTCTAATATGTTAAATTGTCTAAAATATTACAGGAAGATAAAATACCATGTATATGTATTTTTTCCTTTTTAACCACTGTGAAGAATAAAGGACAATAAACTGCTTATATTAAAATGTGTACAATTTTCCCTGGCTGGTTTGGCTAAGCGGTTAGAGCATCGGCCTGCAGACAGATGGGTTGCTGATTCTATTCCTGGTCAAGGCACATACCTGGGTTTCGGGTTTCATCCCCCAGCCTCTGTCTCCTTCCTTCCCTTCCACTCTCTCTAAAAATCAATGGGAAGGCCCTGGCCGGTTTGGCTCAGTGGTTGGAGCATTGGCCTGCGGACCAGAGAGTCCCTGGTTCGGTTCCCGCTAAGGGCACATACCAAAAAAAAAAAAAAAAAATCAGTGGGAAAATATACTTGGGTGACAATTAACAACAACAACAAAAAAAAAAGTGTACAGTTTGACCAGTATTGACATATACTGGAACATCCAGTGGAGCCTTCACTGTAATCAAGGTAATGCACATTTCCATCATCCCTAAGAGTTAGCTAGTGTCTCTTTCCAATCCCTTCCTCCCTCCATCCCCTTCCCCAGACTATCACTTCCTGCTTTCTATTACTATAGATTAGTTTTCATATTCTAGGATTTCATTCAAATACAGATTCCTTTTTAACACAATTACTAATACTAATGGTTTCAATTCTTTTAAATATTTCTATACCCAATTCTGAAACTTCAAGAAAGTAAAAGATCTTTACTTACACACACACACACAACAACAACATGCATAGAACTTCAAGTATCCTCTTATGTCAACTAAGGAGAAATAATACCATTCTATGTCATTTTGGTATGGGAAACAGATTGCAGCTAGAGATTTTCATGGGGATGCTCCCTGGATTGGCTTCTTCTCGGCAACACTGATGAGACCTCAGACTTCAATTTATAGTTCCTATGTTAACGACTCCATAAGCTCCAGGGAAGACAGTTATGGAGCCCAGATCCTTGGGTTTCAGTTATATATTCACCTAATTCTTCTGCCTACCCACGAAAGTTCATTAAATCTACCCTGTGACCTTTTGATTACCCTTCTTTGGCTCTTGATGCATATTCTGCTCAGGTCTCAAGACTGTGGACCCTGTCAAACACCTACAAACTTCTCATGCACTTATTTGGCCAACAGAACTCCCATTGAGATGCAAGAATAAGCCTGAATTCTGGGGATCTCAGCCAGCTGGTTCTGGGCATGCCAGCCCAACTACTGATGTGAGAGCTATCTAGGTTTATCTTTCTGAGTAACAGTTAATAAGTAATGCTTTCAGCTGGACAGAAAAACCAAGAAAAGGAAATATAATTGTTAGAGAATTAAGCCATCAGAAATTTCAAGGGACTCCCCTCGAATGTCCAAACCACATGGAACACCTGCTGTTGGCTGTGCTCAGCAGTCTCAGGTTAAGGAAGAAGCTGGAAATGTGGTGGCCTCTGGGAAAGGAACTCACTGGTCAAGGTTCTGGAGGAAGTGGGGTACTTTAGCCCTTGAATACCTTTTTTACTCCTTGAGTTTTTCTGTGTGTGTGTGTGTGTGTTTAATTAGGTTTTCCATTAACAAGTTATTCCAGTTCCTCAGGAATGCTAAAATAGTCCCATTAGAACTGTCTAGCACCAGTCCCTGATATTCTCCTGCTGTTGGATCTTCCCTACTGCTCTGGAGCTTCGCCTCTCCCTCCCAGAGTGCTGGGAAAAGGGCGGGTCCGACGGAACCCGCAGCCACGAACACCTGTGCACCTGTGAGATCCGGGGAAAAAAGCTAGGCAGCGGAATTTGAGAGGCAAGGCCTGGAATCCAATGAGAAGGGCACGGATGGGGTGGGGCTTGCCACAGCCCTTGAAATAAAGCCCAAGGCTGAGAGCAGCTGCCGTAGCCAGGCCCAACTGTGACCTTCCGGCCTGCATCAACACCACACCATTCATTGCGAGGCCAGCAGCAGCAGCAGCATGGCCACCCCCAAACCCTTTCCGACGCTTGTGCAACTGGAGCAGCGGGAAGGGGCGCCCTTCCAGATGCTCAGTAACATCACCAAGCGGCCCTACTGGTTCCACTCCGAGTACCTGAAGGCTCCGAAGGCAGTTCACCTCGAGGCGTGGCTGGTGGAAGCGATCTTCGGTGAGAAACCGGAGAGGGGAAGCCAATGCGACCTCCTTCCCCAACTCCTACCCACCCTGTCGCCCAGGCTGGTCGCACCTCAGGGCAAGCCTCTTCTATGTCTCTCTGACCGAAATCCAGTGATAACCCTCCACCTACTGCTGCCTCCCCTTCACTTTGCTTCCCCTTTCCTTGTCCCACCCCTCTTTTCTCCCTCCTGCGCAGGCCCTGGAGGAGAGCACATTCCCCACGTCGAGTGTGTGTCGCAGACCCTGCTTCGCGTTAATCAGTGGAACCCTGAAGGCGATGCTGAGATTTTGATATTTGGTCGGCCTTCTTACCAAAAGGATGTATCAAAGATGATCATGAACTTAGCTAACTATCACCGCCAACTCCGGGAGCAAAGTACGGGGCCAGGAAGAGTGAGGGAAAACCCGGGCAGGCCTTGGGGTTCCTTGAGAAGGATCCTGATGCTTCCTGGCTGTGCCTGGGCTGCGGTCTTATCCCCTTAGTCAGCCAGGAGTGGGTTTCCTCATTGCAGGGGATCTAGAAGGCCAAATTAATCCCGTGTTCTCAGATTCCGGGCCCCCACCCCTGCAGCCCCTATGGATGACACCTGTAGTGGAGAGAGTATGGGGACACCAGTGCGGGCTTCTCACAGTGCTCTTCTTCCAGGCACGGGGAGGAACACTGTCCAGGAGAACAAGACCCAGCGCTCCCCCGACACAGCCGGGGAGGCGGCCACCCAGCGCTCCCCGGACGCTACCCAGGAGGCGGCCACCCAGCGCTCCCCCGACGCAGTCCGGGAGACCGCGACCCAGCGGTCCCCCAACGCAGTCCGGGAGGCGGCCACCCAGCGCTCCCCGGACGCTACCCAGGAGGCGGCCACCCAGCGCTCCCCGGACGCTACCCAGGAGGCGGCCACCCAGCGCTCCCCCGACGAAGTCCGGGAGACCGCGACCCAGCGGTCCCCCAACGCAGTCCGGGAGGCGGCCACCCAGCGCTCCCCGGATGCTACCCAGGAGGCAGCCACCCAGCGCTCCCCCGATGCTACCCAGGAGGCGGCCACCCAGCGCTCCCCCGATGCTACCCAAGAGGCGGCCACCCAGCGCTCCCCCGATGCTACCCAGGAGGCGGCCACCCAGCGCTCCCCCGATGCTACCCAGGAGGCGGCCACCCAGCGCTCCCCCGATGCTACCCAGGAGGCGGCCACCCAGCGCTCCCCCGACGCAGTCCGGGAGACCGCGACCCAGCGGTCCCCCAACGCTACCCAAGAGGCGGCGACCCAGAGCTCCCCCAACGGTACCCAGAGCCAGGTTCCCAGGTTATGAAGGCATTTCGGGTCCCTGGAGCGAGAATCTGGCAAGGTTCAAGTGGAAACCCCGATCTGGGGAAAGGAAGATGTGAGTTGTTCTTGATTTCCCCTCCCCACCTAATCCCACCCAAGTTAAATGTTTGCAAACACGAGTCTAAAGTTCTAACAAAGAACCTACTTTCCTTAATAAAGAATCAAATTTCCCTACCGTCTGTTAACTGGTGAGGCACCTTCCTCCAGCAGCCGGTATCTGCTCTATGCTGCTTTCTAGCTAAACGCAGGTGAGCCCTGTTGGGTTTCTGGCCGCTAGAGGCCGCAGTCTTCACTGGCAGGTGCTTCCTTCGTGCTCTTGAACCGCACACACCTGACTTTGCCGGGTGAGAGGACTCCACAGCCTGTCCTCACAGGGAAACCTCTCCAAACCTTTGGTAGGGCACCCTTGTCACCTTTAAAAAATTTACACTATATTTCAAATATACTTCAATTTAAGGTGTTTAACATGTTAATTTGATATATTTACATATTATATGATTGCCATTGTAGCAATAATTAGCACCTCTGTCAGGTTTGGCTTCTGGCTCCAGGCCGGCTTGGACACTAGGTGCCTGCTAGAAGGAAGCAAACTTAACAGCTGGGTGCTCAGATTAAGAAAACAATAGTAAACACCAATCTTAGTGTTAGGAAAACTTTCATTTTTAAAATATCAAGGGAGCCCTGACCAGATTTGCTCAGCGGTTTAGAGCTTCAGCCTGCGGTCCAGAGAGACTCGGGTTCGGTTCCTGCTAAGGGCACGTGCCTCGGTTGCAGTTTGTCCCCGGCTTTGGTTGGGTCGTGTGGGTGGCGACCACTAGATGTGTCCCTTTCACGTCGATGTTTCTCTCTCCCTCCCTCCCACTCTATCTGAACAAAATATGGAAAAATGTCCTTGGGTGAGGATAAACAAAATATCAAGGGAACCTAACTAGAAAGACCAGGGGCATGGTATGTCTATCATAGAGCCTTTGGTTTCCATTAATAGATGATCACTCCAACTTTAAATAAGCATTTATTTCATAATAGGAATAAAGATATAAAGTTAATATAGTAAGTTATTGACTGCTTTTAGAAGAGACAAGAAAAGCCTAGGTACTTCTAGTCAAGACTCAAAATCAATGTAGACTCTAAGTTTCAGTTGAGGCTACAGGGTATAACAAGATTCAGTGTTGATTCACCCTCACCCCCACCCCTCCTTTAAGTAGTACCCACATGATATGAGCAGCAGGTAGCAAGCCAATGGGAACATTTAGAAGTCTCTGGGTATTCCAAAACTTTCACAAAAATACCATACACACACATGAGATGATTTTGTGGGGGGAAAATGGTGAGATAAAACATCCTTTTTTGGAGGTTGGAGAGAGCCAAGAAAAGGAGGTTGAACCTGAAATAAAGTAGTTGTGATGAAACACAAGATTCTCTATGCATGTATAGTGTTGATATTTTCTAATTTATTTAAAATGTTTTATTGATTTTTGTGGTGTTTTTTTTTTTTTTTTTTTTTTTTTTTTTTTGAGAGGGGGGGAGAAAGATAGAAACATTGATCAGCTACTGGGGATCAAGCCTGAAACCCAGGCATGTGCCCTAACCAGGAATCAAACCTGCAACCTCTTAGTGCATGCAGTGCTCAACCAATGAGCTACTCCGACTGGGCTATAGTGGTGTTGTTGTTTTTTTTAAAAAAAAAAAAAAAGCATAGTCTTCTCAAAGCAGGTCATGAAATAGTGCCACCTGAATTTTCACCAAGATCAAAGTCCCTATCTTACACACCTTCCTATCTGCCCTCTCAAATGTACTTACAAGAAATCACTTTTAACAGTTTAACTTGTACTTTTTTATAGTTGCACATAGTCTTTTTCTTCCAACACCTTGATTTTCCTCAGTATGAGTACACTTTAATCTTTCCTTACCACTGGTTGATTAGTTTCCCAGATTTCTCAGTTACAAACTGTTGCATTGGATTTCTATTTGCATCTTTGTGTCCATGTTGGAATATGAGTTGCGGAAAAAGTAGTTTTACAGTTGTGAGTACACAAAACATTTTATTCTTGAATCATTTTTTAAGATGTTTTTATTGTTTTAGAAAGGGAGAGATAGAAACACCAATGTGAGAAACACTGATAGGCTGCCTCCTGCATGCCCCCTACTGGGGATCGGGCCTGCAACCAGGAATCAAACTGGGACTTTTCATTCCATGGGATGATGCTCAATCCACTGAGCCACAAGGGTGGGGCATTATTTCTGTATTTTCCATACGAACAACTGTAAACCTACTTTTGCCATATTCTGTATTTCTATGGGAGAGTTTCCTTCCTAGAAGTAGCATTGCCCTGCACACCAAAAGGTTGCGGATTCAGTTCAGGGTCAGGGCATGTATGGAAAACAACTGTTTCTCTCTCACATTGATGTTGCCCTCTCTAAAAATCAATAAGAACATATATAAAAAAACAACAAAAAAAAAACAACCAAGAGCCCTGGCCAGTTTGGCTCAGTAGTTGGAGTGTCATCCCACAGACCAATGAGTCTCAGGTTCAGTTTCAGTCAAGGACATGTACCTCGGTTGTGGTTTGTCCCCGGCCCTGGTTGGGGCCATGCGGGAGGCAACCAGTCAGTGTCCCTCTCACATAAATATTTTCTCTCTCCCTCCCACTCTATTTGAACAAAAACCAGAATGAGCCCCTTTAAAATTGTTATACTGCCCTACAAATTGGTCATACCAACTTATTTTCCCACTACATGGTATAAAAGCTATTTTGCTATACTTACCCAAACTCAATTGTTACTAGTCTATCCACATGTGTCACTTTTTAAAAATTTGTTTCATTCTCCATCCCACTATTTTAACCATGTAGCTTTATAGAAGGGTAAGCCTACTCCCACAGTTCAAGTTGGCAGTCTTGGTCAATTTTTTTCCAGATGAAGCAAAAAAAGTATGTATAGATGGCTTCCAAATATATTGGTTTTGTTAAGGTATACAAGAGTGCTCATTTTATTCTTCAAATGACATGTACATTATAGATGCATGGACATATGTATTTTACCAGTTAAAAAAGTGGTAAATCAGATTCTGGTAACTGAGGTCTAAGGTAGTCAATGGAAGGTCATCAAGGAACAAGGGCAAAACCTACAGGAGTCTAGAAAGTGATTTTTTTTTTTGTACATTTTTTTCTGGTAAAATGATTTATGGTTAGTAAAGAAGACAGTCTAAACAGTTTTTGATTAGTCTGACTAGAGAGAGGCACAAGGAAAAAAGTTCATCGTTGACAGAATCTGTAGAAAATGTTTCAGTTTAGCCATGGAGCACACATGACAGCCTGTCTCAGGGTTTTCCTTCAGCTTCATTTTAAGCCATGTTGACACTGGATTTTCCCCTTATCAGAATTTCTCAACTCCGCACTTTTTTTTTCATCCAAGGACATTTTTTTTGATATTTTGTTCAGATGGAGGGGGAGAGAGAGAAACATCGATGTGAAAGGGACACATGGATTGGTTGCCACCTGCACGACCGAACCAGGGCCGGGGACAAACTGCAACCCAGGTACGTGCCCTTAGCGGGAACCGAACCCGGGTCTCTCCGGACCGCAGGCCGACGCTCTAACCGCTGAGCCAAACCGGCCAGGGCCCAACTCTGCACTTTTGATCAAAACAAGGCCCTTTAAAATATGACTAAGAGTGAGACAAAAATAAAAATCCATGTGCCCCGATGTGATGCACTGAGTACACAATATGATTTATCTAGTATTTATGCCAAAAAATATATAACCTAACTCTAACCATGAGGAAACAAAAAACAAAAGCAGGATTATAAATAAGGGAAACGAAAAAACAGAACTGCAGACAGAACAGTGAATACACATTTTGGGGGCTGGGTAAACTGGTTGGCAGAAAAGTTTAGTGTGGACAGTTTGTGTTGGAGTGGAAATTTTCAGTTTATGGAATCTCTGGAAAATCTTAAGGTTTTAGCTGTGGAGCATGTGACAAGCTATCTTGTGTCTGCCTCTGTACTTTCTGTTCATACTTACAATTTAGTTAATAGACTTCTGCACTAGTAACCATCTTCAGAATTTTTCACTAGACACCTAGGAAAACATTGTTCACAGTTTTCCCAAGTCCTTCTGAAGCACCTGTATAATGGCAGGGGGTCTTTTAAATTCTCACCTGAGGATGTTTTTATTAATTTTAGAGAGAAAGGAAGGGAGAGAAAGAAACAAAATAATAGACTGGGTGGCTTAAACAAGATTTATTTTTCTCAAAGTTCTGAGGGCTAGAAGTCCAAGATCAAGGTGTTGCCAGATTTGGTTTCTTCTGAGGCCTGTCTCCTTAGCTGCCTTCTTTCTGTGTCTTCACATGGTCTGTCTTCTGTGTTCCCCCTATCCGTGTCCATATTTTCTCTTATAAAGACACCAGTCATATTGGAAAAAAGCCCACTCATATAACCGCATTTTACCTTAATTCTTTAAAGACTATCTCCAAATAAACTCATTCTGAGGTAATGGAGATAAGAAGTGTAGGATCATTTAGTCATTTAATTTTAAATAATCTGGAGGAAATTGGAATACATTTTATGCATGAATCCTCTTCCTCCAAATAAAAGTTCAAAATGTTCAATGGTTTTGAGAAATTCCACTAGGAAAACCTGCCAGAATATTTATCAGATTTCTACAGAATAACCTGGCCAATGAGGTTCATTTGGTTGGAGCATTGTCCCATACACCAGAAGGTGACAGGTTCAATTATCAGTCAGGGCACATACCCAGGTTGCAGGTTCAATCCCGGTGGGGGCACATGCAGGAGGCAACCAATCAATGTTTCTCTGTGTGTGTCTCTCTCAAATCAATTTTTAAAAAGTCTACAGAATAAAAGCAAGAGTTCCTAAGCTTAAAAGTAAGGATGAGGGGGAAATCACACAGAAAACAATAATTGGTTTAACTACATATGATAATTTTTCACATGCAAAAAAAATTGAGAAGCAAAGGGGTAGAAAATATTAGTTATAATGGACCAAAAATGAGAAGTAGGAACGTGATCATTATCACTTGTAATCAAAGAAGCATATTTTAAAAGGTGTGGTGGGGTGTGTTTAAAAACCCTTGCAGACAGCTAAAACCCTTTACTGCTAAGGGGTAAAGAAAGTGCATGAGTTAAATCAAACCTTGTGTCTGGAGCCACAAAGCTCTTGGCAACCTCTCCCCCCAAGAAATCTGCTTCCTGAAAGGAAGGGCTCAGGGCTATTTTGCACAAATTGGTCATGGCTATTTAACTGGTGGATGGGAAAACAAATCAGCAGGTTCAGGACACCTGTGTAGGCCTTAGATGGAAAGCAGCCAGCCAGTCTGGGGACAGAACACCTTCTGTGGGACAAAATATCCAGGAATCCAACTCTTCTCTGGTGAATCCCAGTACCACAGAATGAGTGCTAATGGCCTCAGCTTTCCTTGTTGGATACCCACCCATGTGCACAGAGGGAAAGGAGACTCCACTCAAGATGAAAACACACATGGTGCTACTCATGAGCCAAACCAGCAGCTTCAAAGTGAGAGCCTCAAAGGAGAATCAATGGAATTACCTATGAGCTTGTTAGAAATGCAAAATCAGCCCTGGCAGGTTTAGTTCAGCGGTTAGAGCGTCAGCCCACAGACCAGAGACCCCAGTTTGGTTCCCACTAAGGGCACATACCTCACTTGCAGTTTGTCCCTGGCCCTGATTGGGATTGTGTCTCTCTCACATCGATGTTTCTCTTTCTCTCTCTCTCTCTCCCTCTCCCTCCCTTTCTTCTTCCTCTCTCCCCACTCTATCTGAAGATGAATGTAAGAGTGTCCTCAGGTGAGCATTAAAAAAAAAAAAGGAAATACAAATTCTGAATCAAAATCACTGGAGGAGCATTAAACTGTTTTAGCAAGCTCTCAAGGTGATAATTACACATGGTCAAGTATAAGAATAAATGATGCAAAAAACCCAAAGCATATTGATCGTGGCCTGACTCTGACCATAAAATCATATAGAAACTAAGAAGCAAAAAAAACCACCCCACATATCAAGACATGCACGAACAGTCAATCTTTTATTACTTTGCTTAATTTTAAATGAGCAAAGATCTTTATGCCATTGGACAAAAAGGAAATTCATTTCTTTTACTACAACAGCACTCACGTTTGCATCAAAATAATCAAACCATTATCCATCAAGTAAAAGGAAGAAAGAATGCTGAGATTTAAGGATACTTGCTTCTTTTGAACTTCAGTAGCAGAAGCAGGTCGGTTGTCCTAAAGCTCCTGACACTCCTTATGCAACAGGAGGCTGGGGAGTCTGGGGACCTAATGCACAGGCCTTCAAGAACTCCTGAAGTTGTTTCATCTTCTCATCTGAATAAGCAAAAAGGCTCACTGTTTCAAGTTACTCTGTCGCTGTGATGGGAGGAGAGGAGGGATGCTGGCAACACCATTTCTCAGGGTAGAGGTTCTGAACTTGGGATCTGGGAATTGTGCTGTAACCCAACTGAGGCTGGCATGGGCAGTGATGGGCCTGAATGTGTCAGATCTCAGATTACTCCCTCAAGGTCCTCCTCACAAAGGATGCCCAGGGTCTGCCTGCAGCATACTGGAATTGGGAAACTGCAAAAAGTACTGGGAATGTAAGAGAGGCTGGAAGGAAGCCAGGTACGGTCCAATGGGTCACCCATGGCTCCCCCCACATGCAGGTTTCAAAGACCCTCACCTCGGGCACGATGTTCCCGGTGCCTTGATGCCAAGCTTAGGAGCATGCTTTTTACCCGATTTTGTACACGGGGCTGTCCAAAGACAGTGATTTCGACCAAGTTCCCGTAGTTTACTGGGTCCACGGTCAGCAGGACCTGGTTCATCCACTCTATTTCCGGAATTAGGACTCCGTCTGCTCCTAAACCAGAAGAGAGAGACTCTGACTCGAAGGTCAGGAGGAGCCGGAGTTGAAGGCAATGCCGTCCGGAGGAGGAAGAACTGGAAGCCGGCATCACGGCGTCCAACGTGGCCTGGGAACTGGGGAAAGACTGGAGGGGACTAGGCCACCCGCGCACCCGGGGTCGCTCACCGAAGATCACGTCAGCCAGCCATGCTTCCAGGTAAAACACCAACGGGTCTCTCAGTTCCTGCACAGGAAACCACCACGGCCGGGTGCGAATTCGAGGTAGTGGAAGTGGTATCTTCAGCAGCCCATCCAGGGACTGGGCGGACGTCCATTGATCCCCCTGGGCCGCGGCACCTGGATGGTCGACCATACTAGGACCAGCCGGCCAAGAACGAGATCCAGTGGCTCCCACAGAACGAATAAGGTGAGAAGCAGGTGCCTCCTTTATGGCTTCCGGGAAGCCCCGCCCCTTCCGGAGTTACACGCCCGCCCCCCCAGCCCAATTGACGCTGGGTGCCCGGGGCTGCGGCCGGGGCTGCTTGCTGCTCTGCATCAATCACCAGAACTTCCTTGTCAACCTTGAATTAGTATTTATCTGGTTCCACCTGGGTCTCAGAGGTGCTCCGCGGTCATCTCCACCAAGTAAGGTATCACTTGGCCTCCGAGTCTCCTGCCCCCACACATTGCTGACTAACAGTGTGGTTTGAATTGGCGACTTTGTTGACTGGGAATCACTTTCAGGGCCTAGATTAAGGTTTCTGTGCTACCTTGCAGAAGTAGGTGGGTAAATCAGGCCGAGGGCAGCTCATGGAATGTACGTTTTTCTCTCTTCTGCTTCCTATTATCTTCTGACTCTCTGGTTAGTTACTAATTCTAAATCACTCAAGCAAGTGTTTCCTATTTTAAAATATGAGTCAAAGGTGTTCCTTATAGAAAACGTAGCAAGTATAGACAAATCCCATTTATTTCAAAACACTAAGACAGTTAATGTTGATGTACATTTTCCCCAATGTTCTTAATTTTAGTTAAAAATTTAAATTATGAAAGATTTCACACATTCAAATGTAACAAACATCCATGAACAACCTCTACAATATGTTAACATTTTCCCACATTTGCCTCACTTCTCTCCTCTTTAAAATAGATACCACTAAAACATCTTTCCTTTCTCTCCCTACAGGAAATCATTGTCCTGAAGCTGGTGTATATCATTCCATACATGTTCTTATACTTTTTCTAGTGCATCTCTAGAAATATTGTATGGTCGTTTTAGAACAGATAACATCTGCTGTACAAACTGTTTCGTTCTTGCAACTAGCTATTTGTTTGTTTTTTAAATCATTTTAAATAATTTTGTACTAATTTTTTTAGAGAGAGAGAGAGGAAGGAAGAGAGAAACAGCATCAATCGACTGCCTCCTGCATGCCTCCTATCGGGTATCCAGCCCCAAACCTGGCATGTGCCCTTGACTGGGAATCCAACCAGAAACCTTTTGGTGCACCGGATAATGCCCAAACAACTGAGCCACACAGACCAGGGCTTAAAATCATTTTAATGGAAAATTTTGATCATTTATATAAGGGAGATAGTATTGATATACTGAATTCCCTTATCCACATCATCTGGGTGTCAACAGTTATCATTAGATAATCTGTATTAGAGAAGAAATTGGCCCTGGTCAGTTTGGCTCAGCGGTTAGAGTGTCAGCCGGCAGTCCAGAGAGACCAGGGTTCGGCCCCACTGGGGGCACGTGCCTTGGTTGCAGTTTGTCCTGGCCTTGGTTGGGTCGGGCAGGAGGCAGCCACTCTATGTGTCCCCTTCACGTCCCTTTCACATCATTGATGTTTCTTTCTCTTTGTCTCTTCCTCTCTCTCCCTCCCACTATCTGAACAAAAAATGGAAAAATGTCCTCCGGTGAGGATAAAGAAAAAGAGAGAGAGAAGTTGAATCTAACTTTGGTGGATATTATTCTTCAATTTAATTTATTTTTAAGTTGATTTTAGAGAGAGGATGAGAGAAAGAGAGAAACATCGATTAGAGAGAACATCGTTTGGCTGCCTTCTGCATGCCCCCCACTGGGGATTCGGCCCACAACCTGGGCAGGTGCCCTGACCGGAATCGAACTGGCGACCTCTTGGTACATGGGTGGACACTCAATCACTGAGTCACACTGGCCGGGCTTCAGTTTAATTTTAAAAATCTACATAATAGCCCTGGCTGGTGTGGCTCTGATGGTTGAGTGTCACCTCATACACCAAGAGGTCACCTTCTCCCCTTCTCTCTCTCTAAAAATCAATAAAAACATTAAAAAATGTTTTTCTTTATTGCTATTAGAGAGAGAGAGGAAGAGAGAGGGAGAGAGAGATACAAACATCAATGAAAGAGAACATCAATTGGCCACCTCCTGCATGCCCCCCACTGGGGACTGGGCCCACAACCTGGGCATGTGCCCTGACTGGGAATTGAATCCGCAACCTCTTGTTGCATGGATCGATCCTCAACCTCTGATCCACACCAGTCAGGCAATAAATACATATTTTAAATAAATAAATAAAAAGCTATATAATAATGCATGCACATTCTAAAAAACAAGTCTTGAGGATATAAATATATGAAAGTTTTTTCTTTAATGTAGTCTTCAGTTTCTTACTAATTCTTTGTCAATTGTGTATATTCTGAATATCTTCTAGTTTGAATTGTCTTTTTAGTTTCTTTAAGGTGTCTTTTGATAAATAAAAATTTTAATTTTAATATAGTCGAATTAATCAATCTTTATAGTAAAGTGCCTTGCTTAAAAAACCATTTCCTGTGGAAATTGGAAATTGGCTGTTAGTGGGCCATTCTCCTGTGTCCTAGCTCATTCTCTCATCTTTCCAAGTGAAGGATTATGGCCGCCATTTTGGGTTTTGAGAAGATAGATCCTTATTCAGTATCAGAGGAGAAATGATACGATTTTGCTTTCATTCTTCGATTTGAACCATTTCATCTGACAATCTTTACATTCTGTGTTATGAGGGTGTGGGGATTTCCTCATAGATTATTTTTGTTAATTAGCTTGGATTTCCAGGAAACCTTTGATGTAATATTTGTGTTTGGAATTCCATGTCACTTGCTTTTAATTCATGCTTACAAAACAAAACTTTTACTTTCATTGATTATGTCCCTTTATTCCCCTTCTAGAGTATTAGACTGTAACTTAGCCATTTTTTTTATTGCTTCTTGCTCAGTTTGATCTTTTTCAATCATTTCTCCCCACTACATTTTTTTTTTCTTAATCCTCACCAGAGGACATTTTTCAATATTTTTGTTGAGATAGAGTGGGAGGAAGAGAGAGAGAGAGAAACATTGATGTGAAAGGGACACATCGAGTGGCTGCCACCCACACGACCCAACCAGGGCAGGGGACAAACTGCAACCGAGGTACATGCCCTTAGCGGGAACCGAACCCGGGTCTCTCCGGACCACAGGCTGATGATCTAACTGCTGAGCCAAACCGGCCAGGGCCCCACTACATTTTTTTAAATAGAAAACAATTTCCTAGCTTTTCACTTTAGTTTTGAACTCAATAGTGACTTGGTGTTTCATTTTCCTTTCTCTATCCCCTCTTTTGACTTAGACCCCCAATTTATCACCTGTTTCCTCCTCTGACTCTCAACAATGTTCTGTACTGAATTAATGTCTTCTACAGAAAAGAGGCAGTGGCTTGTTTCAATTGAATGTAACAAAGCTTACTTCTGCCTAGATGGGGGGGCCAGAAAGGAATTCTTTGACCTTATTGAAGTAAATGGAATATACTGTATGTTTGTTGTATTCCTTAAGAAAATTCGGTTTTGCTATAGAAAAACAAATAGCACCCAACAATCATGAGGCATCAAATGTTCATGCCTTAAATCTTTGGTAACACCCATCTTGGTCTGATGTGTCCTCTACCCAGAGTCATAAGATAAAATTCACAGCTTCTCAGCACATCAGCAAGTTACAGCTGTGGCCAGGTATACTTGTTTCTGGGTCTCTCCAACTGAACAGCATGTGTTTCCTTCTGCCCTCCCTCAAACCTCAAATGCTGATGCAGCAGATACAAGACATATGAACATTGCATAACACAGGATTCATTGGTGTGGCTTTTTGATCCTGCCTGCAGTCTAACCTGTATGTTAACCTATCCCATCTCTCTTTTTACTTGCTTCTACTGAGAAAATGTTTTAAATTGATTCAGTAACTTGTGTGATTTGGTCTGCCTGTGACCCCTGTAGCCTCCTACCTCATACTGTACTTGGAGCCACCACTGCATCAGAGTAATCTGCCACTGTAATGGCTAGCAATGTGAAGGGGATGCAGTTAAAAGGCACCCCAACTGAATGGTAAGAATCATCTTTTCAAATCAAAGAAATATTCAAGAAGGAGCACTTCAACCCAGGAGGACTACTAAAAACTGATTCATGGTATTAAAAAAAAGATTAGGAAATAATATTCAAGATGTGAATTGCCTTGTGTGTTTGCTGTATTAATAATAATCAATTTTGCCATGTAGAGAACAAGAGAAACAAATGAAGATAGATGAAACTAAGTATAGATAGCAAGTCATTGTGAGACATGTTAAACATATTGCAAATAGAGTTTGTCTGTCCTAAACATAGGAAGAGAGAAGAGCAAAATGAATTACTATATTAAAGCACAGATCATATTACCTCCAGATTGACAGTTATATCATTCCTAAATGTGGCACCTATTTTGTTGTTGTTCTTTGATTTATTTCATCCTCCCCATCCCCCGCACCCTTCTCCTCTGACGTTTGTCAGTCTGAACCATATTCCTTTCTATGTCTCCGGGTCTGTTTTGTTCATCAGCTTTTTTTGTTCATTGTACTCCTATGGCACCTATATTTGACTCGATGTTTTGTGCCCCAAAAATGCAGATAAAAGCCATAGCTGCTCAACAGGTTATGGATGAGGTACAGGCAAGTTACAACTATGGCAAGGAGGACTTGCCGCTTTGTCTCCCCAATAGAGTAAGTGTGTGTTGGCTCCAGTCACACTGCCCAGCCCCCAAGCTCACTCTCAACACTGATCTTATAATCTACCATCAGATGGAAAGGATGATGAGGCAGAGAGACAGAACTCAGGCTCACTGTATAACAGAACATTTGATCACATGATCCTTCTACCCCACTTGCACTTATCCTAAGTATATTAATTTACCCTCACCTCCCCACACACACTTGTTTCTCACTGTATGTTTTAGGTTGATTCAATAAAGTATTTGATTTGAGGATTAATTTGGCCTATGGCCTGTTCTGTGATATCATGATGGCTTGCCTGGTAAAGTTCTCAAGACTACCAACAAATAAAATTAATTTCTTTTCACAACATG